AATGGCTAAGTGACCGCTTAAGTGACCTCAAATTGAAAACATTCAGTTCCAGTGTTTTAATGACTTGCGAAAATAAACAAGGAAATCATTTGTTGTACCTCACGTGTTACATTATTTGAAACTGTATGAAAAAGTAATCAACACTGTGTGACCTTTTAATACAGGTAAAGAGAATTATAAAAAGGGTTCTGTTGGGACTTCGCAGATGGTGACCGCAACCGCTTAATAGAGGTCAAAATTACAGTAATTAAAAGAAGTAATTTTTGGGACTTTGAAAACTGACTGCTTAATAGAGGGTGAACCGCTTAATACAGGTTCTGTATTTTAAAATCTAGAAGAACTTGTTAATTTTATTTTGTTATTGGTAACATATATTTGATAACTGTAATTTCCTATTTTGTTACTTCTTCCAGCCAAATGTCCAAATCATTGCCACAGAAAACTCTATGCATTTCTTTGACAAGGACAAAATTCCTGTGAAAGTGTTTAGAGACAGGGATGAATGGGAGGTAAGTTTTAACCCCATGTAGACCAGGAGGTGGGGGTGAGGGAGGTAGAGAATGCAGGATCTGCCTGCACAGACTTAAATCATTTATAATGCTTTCAATTTTTAAGTAAAAGTTCCAACTCTTCCCCAATCATCTCTGGAGAGACTTGGGAGTTCCATTGAATGTTATGAAGAAGGGAAGCACAATCTCCTTCGACTCTTGCCCTTTCCTTACACAAGAGACAACTAGCAACAGGTTTTGACCTTTGGATTTTCTAAAGTTTTGGAAAAATTAAATAATTAAGATGCAAAATCCAAGATGAAGGTTACTTGAAGGTGTACATGGAAAAACAACCTAAGTAACATCAGATAGACTGCAAGATTCTCCTTGCAAATTGCTTTTTGCTTCCTTCTATGAAAAAGGAGAATTCAATATGAAATCAAGAGGCACTTATGGTTTTTTTTTTCACGCACCACTTCATTTGTGTAAATCATATGTTTACCACATGATATAATGTCGTCATGTCATGTTGCTTAATCCTGAAAGGAAACATTCTTGGATGTAGACCAAGTTTCATGATCTTTGCTCAAAAATGTTCTTGAAGTTATGCAGTTATGGGTGATTGGGATGCAANTTGCTTTTCGCTTCCTTCTATGAAAAAGGAGAATTCAATATGAGATCAAGAGGCACTTAGGGCTTTTTTTTTTCACGCACCACTTCATTTGTGTAAATCATGATATGTTTACCACATGATATGATGTCGTCATGTCATGTTGCTTAATCCTGAAAGGAAACATTCTTGGATGTAGACCAAGTTTCATGATCTTTGCTCAAAAATGTTCTTGAAGTTATGCAGTTATGGGTGATTGGGATGCAATGTCTCCTTACAAAACCAATACAAAGTCACGAGTCAGAAAATTTCCTCATGAAAGAAAAAATTAGCTTGGATTTTGAACAAATTCTACCATCTAGTACGATGAGGAATGTATAGAGATCAGTAAGGAGAATTTGTAAGTTGACCATAAGGCTTCGCAGGTTAAAGAAGTTGGTATTTGAAGTCTTTAATTGCATCATTGGGTTCGTGTTCCTATCGTAACGTACATGTCTAAGGGACCAGTTTCTGTTGGTTTTGTCTGGCAATGTTTGCTAATTTTGTTCCATTGTTGATTTGCCTATCTTGTTATACCGTAAATCCTCAAATTAGCACCCGGGGTACTTATTTCAAATTTAGGAGAAGACGGGGGCGCTTATTCGAGGGGGGCGCTTATTTAATTTTTCCCAAATTGTGGCCTGACATGATCATTTTATCTGCGTGTAAACAACAACATAAGCTGTTTACCGACATAAAAAGCTGATCCTAAAGTCTAAATCACGGCACTTTTAGTACTTGTAACTTTTTCCTACACTTGACATGTTCACAAAATGCAAACAAGGTATAATTCTAATCCTACACAACGAAAACTATACATCCTTTGTTAATTGTCTCATTATTCATCCACAAAATGGGGGGAGGGGAGGGGGGCGCTAATTTTAAATTTTGGCTGATAGGAGTGGCGCTTATTTGAAGTGGGCTCTTATTTGAGGGGAAGGGGGCGCTAATTTGAGGATTTATGGTAGTTCAGAAACAGATTATTCTATAAAATCTCTTTTTCCTTAATATGTAATTGTTGTGGTTTGCAATTATTGTGACCATAGTAAAATACCAATTTACATCATGACTTTGTAAGTAACACGAAATTGCACAATCTAAAAAAAACTAATTAGCAAGATAATTAAGAAAATGGATCGATGTTTAAAGATAAAATCTCTCCTTTAACCGGTAGGCATGGAGCACTATGCAAGATCCTGTTCTACACATTGAGGTAAACTAACTTTTTTTCTTGTCCAAAATACTGTCAATGCCTCGACAGGCCATTGAATCAAAAGGATCTGTTGCTACATGGCACAGTAGACTAAACAGTTTTAAAGTTGTAAATGACTCAGTGTATCACAGTCAGGAAATCCACCTTTCAAATTTTGTATTAATTTTCAGTAGCTGCGACGTTGGGCCGATCTCATGGTTATTGCACCACTAGATGCCAACACTATGGCCAAGATAGCTAATGGTTTATGTGACAACCTCTTGGTAAGTGCAGTTATAGTAAAAATTAGGTCAATTAATTGGAGCCCAGCACACTGCCAAATTATTAGGCCACACTTTCCTCTCATTAAAAGTGCAGTTCTGTTATGCTTTTGCTTCAATGTCTTAAAAATTCTTATTTCTGAATAATACGTATTGTTTAGAAGCATGATGGCCTTACGGCTAAAGCATTAGGATCAAGGTATCAGAATGACCAAGAGTTATTTCTTTGGACTGTCTCCTTGGGGGGAGGGGGGTGGGTGGGGGGTGTACTCTCCCAGTATGGACCACACACCTCACCATGTGAAAATTCCTTTTGTACACCTCTTGGGTAGTAATAAGCCTCTAACTAGTGATTTCATTTTTTAAAATCAAGAGATTTGTGATATTTTGCACTGAATGCACCAATATGGTAACAATGACAAGTTTTGGTATATTAACAGACCTGCACAGTTCGTGCATGGGATGTCAAGAAGCCACTGCTATTCTGCCCAGCAATGAACACGCTTATGTGGGAACACCCCATCACCTCGGAGCATGTTGAGCGGCTTATAAACCTGGGATACTCTCATGTTCCACCCATCAAAAAGACACTGGCCTGCAAAGATACAGGTGAGATTCAGACGATTACAAGACCCAGTGCCTAATAGTGTGAAGCAAATTTACTTTCTCTGAAATTAATACCATTGTATTAAAAGATGCACTTTTGTTAGCTGCCTACTTTGCAGTTTTGGCCGTCAGATCAGAAATTTAGTGAAACTTCTCAAAGACATATTAACTTACAGTGTTTAACATGTGGACTTGTTCTGTCTCAGAATATTAGAAAAGCATTACACACTACAGAAAAGCTTCAAAATAAAAATTATTTTTATTTCAAATTTTATTCAAATCTATTTTCCATATTTTAAGGTGTTGGAGCCATGGCTGAAGTCACAAGTATCGTCAGTTTAGTAAAGGATCACCTTGAGAAGATGACATAACTTAGGCAGCTTTGTTCCTGAATTAGAGCAGTTCCTATTTTTACACAGTCCACTGAGTAAGAAGCAGAAAAAAGGATGAGAGGAAAAAATGGCTGTATGAACTCTGAACTAAAAAGAGGAAATGGTCTAGTCTCATTCATTTTAATTTAAAATATGCACTGAGAAGACTTGAGAGAAATGGAAGTTACTGTACAATGTTTAATGGGTATTAAGGGCATCTTGTCAGTTGCTAGGGTCTCTGTCATGTAAATAAATTGTTACAGTTACTATGTAATACAGCTGTAGAACATTATACATGTATGTACAAGTTTCAAAATAAATGTAGTTATTTTGTGTTACATTTTTTCATATGTCAGTTGATGGCCACATGTCTTGCATGTCTTTGTCCATTCATCAGTTTCCTCATTATAAACCTCACTTTCAGCAAATTCATGCTGATGCCGACTAGTATCTTTCTTCCAAGTACTTGTTCTAACAGCACGGCGAAGCTCTGTTGTGTAGAAGAAAAGATGATACATGTACTGATAAATGTTGAGGATGCAACCTTGAGCATGCATTGTCATTGTAAAAAGGAAGGGCAGACAGACATACAGATGGACAGACAGACAGCTTGACAGACATACAGACACAGAAAGCCAGACAGACAGAGACATACAAACAGACAGAAAGAAGGAAGAAGGAATGCAGGCAGGTGGGCAACAGGGGAGGGGGAAGAGGGGCGGACGGACAGATGGATTGAAAAATGGATGGACAGAAATAGGAAAGTGGGTAAAAGGAAGGAAGGAGAGTACTCTGTTTCAGGCATTTGGTTAGTCAGGGAACAACTAAGCAAGCTGTATAGAGCAGCAAACCTTTAACTTTCTTGTCAAATTTTCTTTGCTTTTGTGCTTCTCTTTTCTCAGCTTTTTCTTCTCTTGCTTCTTCAAGTCCTTCCTCGCCTCCCCACACATCATGTGAGCGATGAACTATCTGCAACGGCATGATGTATCTCTTTTAGAGATATTAGTCATTCCGAGTAACATTGAAGTCAGATTGAGGTACACTACTTGAAATCTTGTTTCCTCTTGAAGATCAGGGAGAGATTGGGTGGGATTGGGAGAAGACAAGGGTGCCCCCCCCCCCCCCCCCCCCCCC